TTTTTTATACATTAGTTATCTTATAGATCTTTCTAACTTTGTATGTAAGATCTTATTTTAATCATTACGTGGATCTAGAAATATGTATTTAATAATTTATTAAGTTTTATGGATTTTTAACCGTTATTTTTAAGTTGTACATGGGATTCAAACATGTTTTTGGGATTCTAACACCTAACGCAACCATGCGAACCCTTAATGAACGAGCAAGTCCTTCCAAATCTAATTGCGAATTTCTATTCGTCGTGTGTGGTCACGCCTCTTCCATAACCATTATTACCTCTCTTATTCAAATAATTTACATAATTTTTTTTAACTTTCTGTGTAAAAGATAGATGATGCGACAGAGAAAGCAGTGAATGCTGATGTGAGCTCTATGTGGTACCCATTTATTCCACGTGGAACCGACTCTTTGTGCATCAGAGGGTTATTGCTGGGACCCATCTATAATTCTTAAAAGTGTGGGCTCCTTTATTCTGACAGTAACACAGAGATTGGATTCTGATCTCACGGACGGTCACGATGATATGATGGATTGTGTTCACGAGCCATGACACGACTCATGATGCTTCTTCATTTCTCTCTCACTATTATAGTCAAATTCATGATTATCAAGAAAACACTGCTTAGGCCATTCTTGATTGATTTCTTGTCCCTGAACTATTGTGGTAATCGAATAATGTATTAACTTTTTGTTCCATCAAGTTGTATAATGGAGAACACAACAATGCAACAAACATTGCAACTAACAGTAATCAAATCCAATAAAGATAATGGAAACTTTTAGACAAATGCGGCAATGTTTATAATTTTTTAAAAAATTCTTTAAAAATTCCTACGTCTTACATCGTTTCAAAAATAGTTGATGGAATCACTAGAGACACTTGTCAATATTAAATTGGATTTGATTGGTGACATTTGAGGTGGTTGGAGGCAACCGGGAGTTGAATTCTTCTGGTTATTAATTAGATAAATGGATGGAATAGAGAGTATCGATCCATAATTATGGATCAGTTATACTTATAACCGTTTGAACTTGATGAATTCCTGATATCATGTGAGATTATTCACAAGATGATAATTAATGAATGAAAGACTTATATGATTACATCTCTTATATATTTGTGTTCAATCATAACGTGAGTTATTCTAACACTTGTTACCAAATATAGCCAATTCTTTAATCACCAATTTAAATGTAACTGTCTCTAAAATCTTTTATAGTTTACCGTCTTTTCCAACCGCTAAAAAAATGCATGCATTTTCCATATAATTATCACTTATCTTTAATAACGTTAAATATGAAAGTTCTATATACACTACTAGAATGAGAATACATAGCTACGTTTTTTTTGTTGCTATGAGAACAAATTTGTAACAAATACGAGATTGCTACAAATTTGTTTCGCTGAGAATTTCCTCGTCGTAGATTTAAATCTATTATCAAATTTGAAAATGGCAAGACAAATAGAAAGTAATGCCTTATATATACTAGCTAATATTTCACATGTATAATGCACTCCGGTCGTGGGTAGTGATCGGAGTAAAATACAATAGTTCGTAACAACAATATTCGTCAGATACACATTAACACGTGTACATAATTATGAAATAGATCACATTCTCAATGTAAACAAACAATTGTTTACATTGTTTTGACTTAAATAAGTTTCAAAAGAAAAAAAAAACAATTTTAGCAACGTTTTTCTCCTTTTTTGGCATTATCAATGTCTAATGGAGCTCTTTGCACAAAAAAAAAAAAAGAAACTTATGTTTCTTGAAAGTCAGATTTAAATATATCCATGCAGCAGTATGTAAAACTTAACTAATATAAATAACGTCAATAATATTTTGTGTTTTATATATATGGAAAGTGTGTACAATGTCCACCCAAAGTGACTAAGCCAGCGATGAAAGCAAAAAGAAATCAGTTAAGATTGTGAAATATATTCGTACGTAATGATCGTATCTCATTCCATTCCGATGCTCAGTGACCAAGTCCACCAACACTCCCATGCTAACAATATATAATCATCATCACCACAAACGTACCATAAATCATTACACAAGAAAATATATCATGTAATGATATATCACAGATTACTTTTATTTATAGAGAAAACCAAAAGTTCTCATAACCATCATTTCGATTTGTCTCCCATTGAGAAAACTACTTGCGTGGATTATATGAGATTATGAGTTACTCTCCCTCTTTCTAGTTACAATTTTGTTTAATTTTGCTAGAACTTCGTAAATAACCTTATGTTATAAAACCCATATTTTTATTTAAAAAAAAAGGATATAAAACCCCGTATTTTATATTAATGAATTTACTGAAACACCTTTATAATTATGTGGCATTAAAAATGATTCTTTACGTTTAATAATAACAAAAGATATGAGTTTTTTTTTTTTTTTGAAATTCGATATGATATGAGGTTTTCAAATACATATTATGAAAAGAAATGCGTCATGTATTGTTGTAGTCAATTAAATAAGATTTTATTTATTTATTTAACTGAATAACAATAACGCAATTGTGTGACTGGTAAACCATATTTAGGGGTAACAAATCATATTCCAAATTTGTATCACTTAATTAAAGAATCCATCACATTTCATTATGCGTTTGAAAGAGAAAAGTATGGTTCTTTAGTTTTTGTTGGATCGTTCGTAAGTTTTGTTGGATTCTATGATTATGCATGGGGTGGATAATGAGAATAATGACTCTTTCCGTCTCTGTCCCATTCCATAGACCTAGTCCCATATCGATATATATTTTCTAATTCTTACTACTTACTACGTTTCGTCAAATCTCGTTTGAAATAGGGATGAGCATACTCTGCTTGGATTTCAATAATAAATTAAATTAGCATATAGTTAGTCATAACTAATAAGAAAATATGATAAACCCATCTCAAAGCCTGGAACTTCTGAAGATGTTTTTTATTGCTTTTTTTCATCTGATTGAAACTTCTAAAGATGTTTGATATACATTGTACAATAGCAAATATTCTCGTTTCTAACTCATCCCTTATCTTAGATGAAAATAAAATTGAAAAGATATTTCATTACTACAATTCCGTTTCGATGAACTCCTTTTTCAATTTTTGTCTGTTTCCCACCTTTTACTATGTAGTGTTACCTATATTAGTATACAGACAGTTACCTAATCACCAAA